CGTCTGCGATAGTATGTCACAGAGGCCCAGAGGGACGCAGTTAGTCCTCTTCTCATAGTTTCCATTTTAGCGAAGAGGGTGGACAGACACAATTATCGGCTGTGGCGAGGGCTGCAGAGATAATAAAGCAGGTCCCAGAGCCAGGAGGGACTGGAAGGGACTGTTCTGGAAGGGGTGGCCAGGCAAAGTCTTTCCTCACAAAGGCTGAGGAGGCTGAGAAGAAGCTGGCTCGTTAGGAAGACAGGTGGGAGGCCCCACGGAGGCAAGGTCTGAGATGTGGGAGATGACAAGAGGACAAGTGGCTGGGCCGGGGGGTGAGCAGGGGAGCTGTGGCTTGAGAAGTCAGCAGGGAGCAGCGGGGTTGACTCTGGAGGCTGCAAGGAAAGAAATAACATGCTCTGATTGTAATTATTTAAGGAACATGAGATTTTTTTTTTTTTTTTAAGTAATCTCGACCACTATGAGGCTCAAACTTCCAATCCCGAGGTCAAGGTTCACGTGCTGTGCCGACTGAGCCAGCCAGGTGCCTGAGAATTGTTTTTTATAGTGTGTTCTGGGCCATGGTCTTTCACATCTTAATGTATCTATAAGGCAAAGCCTTTACATATTCTTTTTAAAAATTATTATTTATTTTTTTCTGGAGAGAGAGGGTGTGCACACACACCAGTTGTGGGGGGTAGGGGCAGAGGGACAGGGAGAGAGAGAATCTTCAGTAGGCTCAGCACTCAGCGCAGAGCCCAGCACAGAGCTCGATCTCACCACCCTGAGATCATGACCTGAACTGAAATCAAGAGTCAGATGCTTAACTGACTGGGCCCCCCAGTCACCTCTAGAAGGCGAAGTCTTTAAAGGACTTTTAATTCATTCTAGTTACTGCAGCTGGCGTTCTGGTCGTCGCACAGTTATTGACACTACCTTCCGTCACCGCTAACCCTCCAAAATCAGATCCTCCTCTTCTAACCCAAAACCTGTGATTGTTCAAAATAAAGGACATGACCTAATAAATATAGCTTTTTCTATGGTGCAGACACCGCTTACATTAAACATAGAAATATTTATCAAACATTGGCTTGGTAAGGGTTCATGTGAAGACCTAAATGACATGAGTGCCTCATGTACGAGCCACATAATGTTTTGACAATTCAGCTCTGTCACTACTTAGCTCTCATTTTCCTCCTTGCTTTTGGGAAAAACTATTAATGACCCACATTCCCTATCTCCCACACACCTCTCCACGCCACTCGTCCATTTTTTTGATAAGTGAAGAGTTTGCCACCAAGCCTAAGCCTCTTGGACGTGGTAGGGAAATGACATGGAGGTTAAGTCCCATGGTTGCCCTTGAGGACCTGGACCAAAGCCAGCTTCTCGTCACTCAAGCATAGTCTCTAGCTAGCCAACTCACAGTTTTCCCTTTCTTCCAATGACAGCTTCACCTACATAAATAGCTTCCATTTGCCCAGCAGATACCCATGCCTGGGTCACGTTAACAGTAACACGCTGGGGTTGTGGTCCTTGCCTCCACTCACGACGGTGGGACCTGCCTCCCTTCTGAGCCTTCCTATCACAGCGGCTCACAAGTGAGCTCGCCCTCTGCTGCTAAGACCACCGCTACACACAGAGGTACGAGGGCCCTTCCCCTGTTGGCAGAGCCTTTAGTTGAGCCACTTTCGGGGACACCATTGTCTGGACACTGCAGATCTGTGCACCAGCCCCGGCCGCCAGGCACCATCAAGGCGGGGGCTCCATGGTAGCCAGACATTACTGCCGCCATATGCACTTTCAGTTTATGTGGTTGAGGGTTTTTTAGTCTCTCCTTCCCCTTTCCGTCATGTTCCATTTCTAGACGAAGGCATGAGATTGGGGGAGGGTATAGAGTTGGGCTGGAGGAGACCTACAGATTGCGGATGTTTTTCTGAGTTCCTACTGGCTGGATTCGTAACTGAGTGCCACCGTCCTGTGACTGCAACAACCCCATGTCCTCTCTGACCCACTCACATTCTGTGTCAGTCCCCTCTCCTCCAGTGACACGATGCCACTCGGAGAGTCTAGCGAAGTCACATAATCTGGCTTCAAGGATGCTGGACCACTCTCTCTCTCTCTCTCCCTCCGTCACTTGCTTCAACCCAGCTGCCAGGACGTAAGCTGCCCTATGGAGAGGCAGTGTGGCAAGGGTGGGGGGTGGTTTGCAAGCAGCAGCCAGCAAGAAACAGGCCCTAGATGGCGGCTCCAGCCACTCCTGGCTAAGGGTTTTCCCTGACACTCCAAGAAGGAGGGCCTGCCGATGGAGAGCTGAAGCACCACACGCTACTCTCCAGTGTCTCTGTCTACTCAACCTCCCTCCCCACTGTTGATGTTGGAAGGCTCTATGTGCGAAGAATTCCGTCGGATGTTATTAATTCCATTGGCAGCCGTTCCATAAATATTTACTGAGTGCCTACTCTTGTGCCTTGGGAATACAGGGGTGGGTGAGATAAACAGCATTCTTGTTCTCCTGGAGTTTCCGTTCTAGCATTAATGAGTAACTATGTAAATAAATGCAGTTCCTACAGAGTGTGATCATTGCAAAGGAAGAATGGAACAGTGTTGCCCACTGGAGAGTAACTGAAGAAGGCCTGTCAGAAACAGTGGTCAAGGGGCGCCTGGGTGGCTCAGTGGGTTAAGCCTCTGCGTTCAGCTCAGGTCCTGAGATGGAGCCCCGCATCGGGCTCTCTGCTCTGCAGGGAGCCTGCTTCCTCCTCTCTCTCTGCCTGCCTCTCTGCCTACTTGTGATCTCTGTCTAATAAATAAAATCTTAGAAACAGTGTTCAAGGAGGCATCACGGGGAGTGCATCTGAGCAGAGATCTGGGTGGCCATGCCCCCAGTTGAGGGAGATCGGGGGGTCACAGGCAGACAGTCCCTGGGGACAGGTGCTTAAAGCTAGGGGGTTTGTAGAGCTCACAAGCTCAAGGGCAGGGAGACCAACTTCCAGGCACCTGTTTTGCCACGGAGCTGTACTAGGGCCTATTGTTATTTTGTGTCCCAGCATAGAGGCATAGCAATAAACAAAAAGTGTATTTTTTGTCCTCTTGCAAAAAGGTCATTGGGAAACTCACAAAAGGTCCATATTTTGCATCTTAATAGATTATAGAGCCCACAGAGGTGTCAGATATCAATCCAGTTTCTCATTTCAGGTGAGAAAACTGAACCCCAACAAGGCGAATGGAAGTTCTACGGTCCATGGCTTGACAGTGGCAGGGCTGAGATTAGAATTCCAAGTGCGAATTTATGTACACTCTTTCCTTAACAGGTTAAGGCAGTTACTCAGATTCCTAGGATTTCTTTTGAAAATTACAAACCTGATTTTCCTCCTCTTAAATTCCTCCGTCCTTAGTTTTCTGTCTAGCTTGAAGCTCTTCCAGCTTCAGTTGTTAAAAAGGAAACCCACTGTTATTACGGGTTGTTCACACTTTTTTGGCTACCAGAGGGGACTGAAAACCTCCTATTCAGAGTAAATCGTCTTCTTTCTTTACACAAATTCCCACTGAGCCGAGTTTGAGACAGAAATCAGCGGCAGGACTTCGGCTCCCACACCTGCTGCCCACACCCGCTCACATGACTGGCCCAGGGCACGAGTGGAATGACTCGTCTCTATGGAACTCAGCGGCGGAGGGCCAGGTAACCGCCAGAGCCGGATTTTGGAAGCTGACAAACAATTCATCGTGTGTGACAGTTAAGGTGGGGCTGCGGGGCGCAGCCAGGGACAGGAGGGTCACTTCGAGGAGAGTGACCAAAGCTCACAGCATAAAGCACGTGGGTCCGGGTCTGAGCTCGTCGACCCGCTGCGGTAATGCTGTAATAAGGCGCAGGGAAGAGCAGTCCGGGGCGGGGAGGTCGCCCTGCTCACGGCGGCGGGAGCGCCTGTGGGCGCAGGGAACCGGGCCCCAAAGGATCCCGCACGAAGCTTCTTAGCCGGAGCGGAAAGAAGTGCTATTCCCACGCGCGAGAGGGTCAGCAGAGCGGAGAAGCCTGAGCAACCACGGACCCTCCGACGACTCAGCGGGTCCCCAGCGGTCTCGGTCAGCTCGGATCCGCGCGGGGGACACTGCGGGTGGACGGCAGCCTCGGGCCTGGGGAGGAGCCTGCGGGGCCGGGAGTAGCCTGAAGAGTCCTCAACTCTGGGGCTCCCGTCCGCCCCCACCGGATCCCGGTGCTCTTCGCTGCGGACCGCGAGGCCCAGCGGACGGGGCAGCACGGCCGGCGGCGTCTCCCGAGGCCTGTGCGCGTAGACGCGTCTTTTCCCAGCGGGACGACACGGGCGCGTTTCGCGACTTCTCTGGGCCTCCGTTTCCCCGTCCGCAAACAAAGTAAACTCCACGCGTCGGACGGTGCCGCGGTCCGGGGACCGGCCGGGTCCGCGTCCGATTTCGGGCTGGTCTTGGGGCGCTGGGACCCAGCCAGTCCCCGGCATCCCCGCCGAGCGGGCTGTGCGCTTCTTCCCCGCCCTCGTCCCCGCCCTCGTCCCCGCCTCCGTCCCCGCCCCCGTCCCCGCCCCCGCGCACGCTCGCTCTCTCCCTCCCTCCCTCTCAAGTACACAAAGAAATAAAATATTTGGGAAAAAAAAAGTGCGGCCGGGGAGGCGGAGAAACAACTCTGGCCGCAGCAGGTTGCGAGGCTCACGGAGGGGCCCGCCTCCTCCGCCGCGCCGGACTCCGATTGGTCCCCCCGGAGGGGGCGTGACTCGTGGTCGCCGCCGTGGGCAGGGCCGGGAGCGCGAGGCTCCGCGCCGACCGCCTCCTTCGCCGCCCCGGACTCCGATTGGTCCCCCCGGAGGGGGCGTGACTCGTGGTCGCCGCCGTGGGCGGGGCCGGGAGCGCGAGGCTCCACGTCGACCTCGTCCTCCGCCGCCCCGGACTCCGATTGGTCCCCCGGAGGGGGCGTGACTCGTGGTCGCCGCCTTGCGCGGGGCCGGGAGGGCGCGACTGACCCTCGAACCCGGTGGGTCGCGGCGCCGCGCACTCGCTCCCGGCTCCCGAGCATGACGGGCCGAGCCGGAGGGTCCGCGCGCGCTCTGGTCGCCGCGCTGCTGGCGCCGGCGCTGGTGGCGCTGCTGGTGGCGCCGGCGCGGGGCCGGGGCGGCCGGGGTCACGGCGACTGGGACGCCGCCGCGCCGCTGCCGCCACTGCCGCCCCGCGAGGACGCGGCGCGCGTGGCCCGCTTCGTGACGCACGTGTGCGACTGGGGCGCGCTGGCCACGGTGGCAGCGGAGCCCGCGGTGCGCGGCCGGGCCTTCGCCGACGTGCTGTCGCTCAGCGACGGGCCCCCGGGCGCGGGCCGCGGCGCGCCCTACTTCTACCTGAGCCCGCTGCAGCTGTCGGCCGGCAACCTGCGGGTGAGCGGGCGGGGCGCGGGGCGGAGTCGTCCGGGGGCTCCGCGGGCGCCGCTCGGAGGCTCACGGGGCCCTTCTGAGCGCGGAGTTGGGCTTTCCGCGGCCCGAAGCCGAGGCCCCCCCGCGGGTGCCGGGCGTAGCCTCTGGGGCCCCGTGCCACGGTCTACCCGGGAAGGAGCGGGGCTGGGGCTAGGTCCGTGGGCTCGTCTCCGCCCGGCGCGCGCCAGGGCCGGGCTCGCCGCCGTCCGGGGGCCCCGCCGCCCTCCCGGGGTCTCGCCGCCCCGCTCAGCCGCTCGAGGGCGAGAGCTGTGCGGAGTCCGGGACAGGCTGCGGGTGAAGAGCCCGCGGCTTAGGCCGAGTGACTCGCGGCGCCGCGCGGGGTCCGCCCGCCTTCTCGATTCGGGTCGCGGAAGGGCGGCCGTGACCGGAACGTGCCCCCAGACCGGCTTTCTTTGGCGCACACGCAGCTCGTTGCGTTTTTCTTTGGAATCGCAGCGGCTCCCCCGCACCCCTTGGCCGCGGGTTCACGCCCTGGTTCCATCTGCCTGGAGTCAAGTGCGCGTCAGAAGCACCTGCTTCTCCTCCGGAGATGGTGTCCGTCAGGCCGGCCTCGTGCCGGGCCGCCCCAGCCCCCCTTCCCTGTCCCTGGACGCGTTTGTCACCAGCCCAGGCGGTCCTGCACACAAGCCGCTCTGGGAGGGACTGAGCACATTCTCGCTTTGTGACAGCGCTTCGTTCCGCATCCCGTTTCCTTAGTAGCTGTCGTGGCCTCTTACTGCGGTTATAACTGGACTTTATCACGGGTGTGCGTGCGCCGGAAAACAGTCTGTGCGGGGTTTCCGACATCCACAGGGGCGTCGGACTGTACTTGTGCGTAAGGGGTGGGGGAGGGTCTGCTGTCGTTACCAGCATTCGAAAATGGAGACTCCAAATTAGTTTCTTGGAAGATCTGTGCCCCTGGGGACCTGAAGCAAGATCAGAAACCGCTGCTCTTTGTAAGAGACACACGCCTCCATCCATCCCGTCCATATTCCCAGCACACCCCACTCAGGCATTTGCCCAAAGCAGGCTCATTCCACGCCAGCGATGCTCAGCCTTGGCTGGAAACACAGTCACCTGGGAAGACTTTAAAAAATAAGTGCCCGGGTATTGTATTAAAAACATGTTTTATTAAAAACAAACAAACAAACAAAAACCAACAACTCCCCAATTCCTCCCTGATCCTTCTAATGAGGGAGGGGGATTGAGAACTACTGCTGTCCACGATTATATTTAAACTCTCACTGATAGGGTCACCTGCTTTGTAGGAAGGAGGACAACTAAGACTCATGTGCAGGGAGTCACCTGTGCCCGGCCGCTAATGGCTGCCCGGTAGAACTCCAGCCCAGGTTTTGGACATGTCTAGAGAGATGGTGTAAGGAACCTCCCCGGGATTTCAGGTTTCCAAGATGGCAATGCAAGGGTGTGGCCACATCGGAATTAGTCTGACTTGCTCCTGTCATTTCACCAGTCAGGTTGATTTATACCTTGTTTTCCTCCTCCTCCTGACCTCTGTCTTCTCCCTGTCACCCTACCCACCAGATTTATAGGCACAGAATACCACATAGCATTTCCCTCTGCCCAGAGACCTTTAACAACATCTGGCTGTCTAGAGGTGCGAAAGATTCACTTGGGATGTTTGCTCAAAGTACAAATACCAGGCCTGGGGATGGAGCCCAGAAATCACCATTTTAACAAGTTCCCCATGCAGGTGGTTCTTGGAAAGCACAGACAGATGCCAGCCTGCAGAGCACAGTCCTGGCTCCTTAGCTTGGACTTGAGCCCCCCTCACTCCCCCACCCCCTGCCACCTCTCCTACATCTTCCCACCCCCCCAAACCTCTTTCCAAGCAGATTGGGTTTCTCATTACTCACAACCATGTGCCATATTTCCCCAGTTCTGCTTTTGAAATTCCCATTACCGTTAATATATCATCCCACTTCTGTCCTGATTTTGAGTATCTTATAAGGCTCCCTGTAGAGTGCATATTACTCCAGGCTGTGTTGACATCTTAAACTCCAAATACACTTAACTGTACCATTCACTTGATAGTCAGTTATATATTGTCTTCTGATCTCTTCTGTGTCATTTTGCATTATTTAAGTTTTGTTTATGTCTGACTTTTCAGTCGATTATAAAGTCACAGAGAAATGAGAGACCTTTTTTTGGTCTCCTAAGGCTTCTTGTCTAATAGTGCACAGACAGTTTGGCTGTTTGGCTAAATGATTTCAAGGAGCAATCTTGAAACTCGTTGTTTTGATAGGTCACCATGAGATGGCAGAATTTTCCACACAAGCTGCTTGGAGTTTAAAGTACTAAATGCAACATTTGAATTTTGCTGTGATCTGTCAACAGTGCCTTTCCTAAAGCTGATTTCTGAAAAAGAAGGAAGAATTTTGCTTGCCTCACTTTTTGAGTCTAAGCATTCTTCTCTTATTGCTAAAACAGGAATGAACAACTCCAATTTTGAAATCACACAATTTCTGCTAGCCTAAGATAACCACAAAACATGATTCAGCAACTTTCCTGGTTAAATTGTACAGTTAGTTAGTTGAACAACTATGTATTTTTATGCCCTAGTTTCATACTAGAGTCTAACCCTTTAGATCTTTTGACGAAGGTCTAGACCAGCCTTGTATTTAGGTGATACCATAATCGTAATTTCCCTGGTGAATGTGAAACATTAAGAGTTTAAGAAAAAAGAGTGGCTTGGTTAATTTTTAATATAGGACCCTAGCCCCTGCTTTTTGGGAAGAAGAGTCAAGATCAATCTCTACCCAACTAGTCATTTTCTCAAATGGTAGGTGATGTTTTACAGTTCATTGTTTCCTTGAAGAATGCTCAGCTCTAGGGACAATGTGCATGTGACTTGTGAGGTTGACTCCAGAGATAAAACCTCACGTACCAGGATCTTTATTTTCTCTATACAGGAAAATCCACATGCTACGCTGACCATGTCTTTGGCACAGACGAACTTCTGCAGGAAGCAGGGATTTGATCCCCAAAGTCCCCTCTGTGCTCACATAATACTGTCAGGAACCGTTACCAAGGTGAGTAGTTAACAAAAACAGAGATGGGTTTTAGACAAGTACCATCTATTAACAATAAAAGAGATATCTTTTTTTTAATTTAAGATTTTATTTGAGAGAGCAAGAGAGCACAAGAAGGGTGAGTGGCAGAGGGAGAAGGAGAAGTAGGCTCCCCACTGAGCAAGGAGCCTGATGTGGGGCTCCATCCCAGAACCCTGAGATTATGGCCTGAGCCGAAGGCAGATCCTTAACCCACTGAGCCACCCAGGCACCCCAAGAAAGAATTTAAAAACAAAATGAAAATGATTTGTGATTGAGATACAGAGTGAGAATATGTTCTAATGTGTGCGTTGATGAAAACTAAAGGCTTAAATTGGTTGATTTCGTATAGATGTTCAATAAGATATTTGTGCAGAAAAGGAACGAGTTTTTGAAGCTGAACAGATGTAACAGCTTCTCAGCTCCTCTGTAAGGAACACCTGTTCAGCCAGAGCCCTCTGCCACGGGCCATGTTGTACACTGCCCAGTATTTCCCGTGTGGGGCTCCTTGTCTCCATATGCTAACAGTGGCTTAGGGCAGGGAGCGGACCGTGTAAGCTGAAATACCAGATGTGAACTTAGCGCAGTGAACACTGCGAGGCAGAGGGCCAGGTGTCAAAGCACCGACCCCACCGCCCTGCCGGCAGATGTGCTTCTTGACCTTGCCGATCACGATGACCTGAGACAAGTCTGATCAGCGGTCTGGAGGTTCTGTGTGGGTGCCGCTGTGCAGCTGCATTTCACGAGTAGGAGAGAGGCGGGAATGGGGCAGGGCAGGGAGGGTCAGCCGATGCTCTCGATGCTCTCGAGTTCCACTGTGCCTCCCGAGACCTTCGTCTGTGGGTTTGCCTCCGCGTTGAACACAGGCTTGTTACGGGGTCCATGGGCCGACGTGACAGGGCGTGAGCACCCCAACATTTCATCCTACACCCTGTGCCCATTACTCTGGTAGCCTGGAGGGATTGCCAAGCAGTGGAAGGCGGACCTCATGATGATTCCCTACCTCAGGAGATCTGTACCGCCGACATCTGAGCTCCTGGATGTTTTCCGTTTTTCTGCATGCTTCCTGCAGTTTTCTCCTGATTCCTTGAGCTTGTAACTAAAGAAACTCTTCAGGATTCTAGAATCACGCCCCCTTAGCAGGCCAGAACACAGAGTGTGGTTGCCATGAGTCATTCATGTCATGTATAACCCTTTAGGTGAACCAGACGGAAATGGGCTTTGCTAAGCATTCCCTGTTTGTCCGACACCCTGAGATGAAAACCTGGCCATCCAGCCATAATTGGTTCTTTGCCAAGTTGAATATAACCAACATCTGGGTCCTGGACTACTTTGGTGGACCAAAAATAGTGACACCTGAAGAATATTATAATGTCACATTTCAGTAAGTATTTACACAGCTTTCTTCTTTCGAATACTGCAACTTTGATTAGCAGTCCTCAGTCTTTTAAAGCGGGGGAAGGGGGGTTTCACTGTTTCGTATACCACGAACCGACCCTTTTAACAACCTGGTAAAACCTATTACACCCCCTTAGAATAATGTATTTAGGTGTATAAAATACATAGGCAGTACAATGAAAGCTGACTCTATTGAAATACATTTATAAAAATATTTTTTAAATGTATGGTGGTGTAATATGTTGACTTTTTAATGAACACATTAAATAAGATTTAATAGTGAGCCTGTAACATTACTGTACTTTCTGAGTAGTGAGGACTGAGTGTTTTATGGCATTCGCCACAACCCTAACGTGAGGTGAGAGTATCTTCTTTCTTTATTTCTGTGGCTGACTGTCACAGATACGTGTTCGCTGGGCTTTGCTGTCCACATTCATCATGGAAGAAAATGATAAATTTCAATTAGAGCTTAATGAAAATGAAAACATCTGTTTTCCATCCAAGTTCACAACCCCTGAGCTCTGTCTATAGGCTTGAACGCCAGGTTGAAACCTTGTTTTGAGGTGATGCTTTGGGGCCCTGGCTGACCTGTGATGGCCTTTTCCCATGAGAATCAGACTTGGGTGCTCCTGGACTGTGAATGGTGCACATCCGAGTGTGCACGTGGCCCCTTTCCCATCAGCCTCAGTGCTGTGAGTGCTGCGGGTGCCGTGTGGGGTACCCACCAGGACGTGGACACTTGGGGCTGGAGGAGGTCAACCCCTGAGGGGTTCCGGGAGAGAACGAAGAAGGAAATAGCCTGAAGATGGGAAAAGGACAGGAAAGAAGGGTGTGATTAGATCCTTTGAAATTAGATCAGGGTTCAAATGAGGGAATACAGAATGCAGTTTTTTCCCGGTGACAAGGTGGGTGGCCTAGCTGCCCTCCCCCAGGCCCAGTGGCTATTCCGTAGACTGTAGCTCACTTGGGGGGCTTATATTCCAGCATTTCTTTACTCCACACTGAACTGTGGACTTCCCATCACCCTTGTCAATTTCTTTACCAGCAAAGCTCAGATTTCTTTATTTCTTTTATTCATTCATTAATTCATTCCCAAACAGGGTCTAAGACAGTACATGGCTCAGAGCAGGTGGCTCCTTCTCAGGCTGATAATTTGAGACAAAGATTCTCAGCTTCTCTGGTTGAATGAGGAGCCCAGCAGTCACCGTGTTTATTTTGCTTCGGAGCATGCAGGAGGCGAGGCACAGGCTAGCGATTCTCTCCTGGCCTGACAAAGCCACCATACTTCACAGGAATAGAGAGGCAGCCCTTAAAACATGATGACCTGGCAGTGAATTATCCAGGAGGATGGCCAGTAAGATGACAGACCCATGACACAAGGTTAATGTTTGCTTTGACATGACGTGGCGATCTCTGAAAGACATTATTTGTATATAAATAACATGCCCAAGGGGAATGCTGGCTTTAATAAGAAAATAAAACTGTACTTCCCTGTAAGTCTCCATGTTGAGTGAGTGGGTGGCATAGATAAATTTGAGGTTCCCATTTTTTTATGCAGACTAGGGAGGCTTTTGTGCAGCTCAGAGATAAGAGGGAGCATTTCCCTGTCTTGAGAGGAGAACCAAAGTCTAGACCAGGGTGTCACCCTGTCTGAGGCAGGACAGAATCCTAGGGGGAGGCAGCCATGAAGTTGACCTTTCAGAGTTCAGCTGACTACGGTCCATTTCAGACAGTTGGGTGCCACATCCCAGAGGCTGTAGCAGAGGGTGTTGTGGTCGCACTCACCGGGGAGGGGTGCTGGCTGACATTCAGTCTCCGAGGCCAGACCCCAGACCTATAGATACCTATAGATACCAGAACCCAGGCAATTCTTCCGTATTCTGGGGTGGCTGAAATTCATTCAAAATCTTAAGCTTCTGGATCAGGAGTTGCTTGAACCATTCCCTAGAATGATGACCTGGTAAGATCTGTTAACTCAGTTTAACGAAGTAAGTCTTCTTCCTCTCTCTTCCCCTCTCCAGGTGAAGCAGAACACGGTGTCTTGAACGACACCCGGGAGGTGGCTGTGGATGGCTTATGCACACCTGAAGGCCTTAATGTTTCTCTGTAGAACATTTCCCAGATGGGTTTGTTGGCTTTGCTTGCTTGCTTGTTTACAAAATAGAGTTGCACTATTCCTGGATTTCTTGGAAGATGTGGTTGCTAGAATATATATATATATATATATATATTTTTTTTTTTTTTTTTTTTGCAAATTTTGAAGCCATTTTCTTAGAGGGATATCTTTCATTATGATCAAGGAAGTTTAATTCCATCCATTCCAAATAGTTTTCCAGCAGTGCTCCTTGAAGAGAAGCCAGTGCTGGATTTAGATGGCCCACTGGCGTTTGAAGGCGTTGGAACACCTGTTCTTACTTCCTGGAAGCCACAGTGCTGGGGAGTGGGCCTCAGTCCACCATGGCTGTGCCCAAGCTGCCTGAGCCCGGCGGTGGGGCTGACCTGTGTGACTGTGCACGTGCGTAATAGTGCCAAACCCTCCTCCTTGTGGTCCATTTGTGCCTGACAGTCTTGGGGAGTTGTTGATCCAACATAGGGCAAAACTATTTCTTACAAAGTTTTTTATTTTTTTCCACTTTTCAAATTAAAGTGATAATTGCCTGGAACAGAAGAAGTTCATAAACCTTTCCTGAATTTGATTTCCCCATTAAAGTGGACACTGTATAATCTGTGTCCTCCACTCAAAATACACACCCACATATATGTACACTTTATTTTATTTTTCTCCCCCTAATGGGCTTGCAAAAGAAGAAAGGATGCAGGGAATTTTGTGTGTCAAAATTTTTCTGGTGTTCTGTTTAAGTAGAGTTTACCAGACATAGACCAGCTTAAGCCAGTCCCCAAACCCACTGCCTCCCAGCTGCACTTTGTAGCTTTTTAAAGAATGCCACGCTCAGCAGGGGTCCGCAGCCGCTCAAAATCTTTAAATGGCTTCTGTGCTATTACTACCTAAGTCAGGTCATGAGGGAGAAGATAATGTTAAAGAAAAAAAATCACATTTCTTCAGAAAAGAAGAAACTGGTTTTATTATCTACACACATGGTTTCAGAAGATGAGGGAAGACCCTTCATCAAGAGGGGTGTCAGGAACCAAGCTGCCGGATCCTTACGTGGCTAAGAAAGGAAGAGGAATACGCGCTGTTATGTTTTAAAACTACAAAATGAACTTACCTAAAATCTAGCGAACAGCTTCTGCTTAAGAAAAATGATTTATATTGAACTTGCTAAAATGAGCTTTTCACTGAAAATAATTAAAAGCATTATTTTCGTGAAGTGTGTTGGGTCTGTTTTCTTCAACATGGATGTTCGTATTTATTACGCGTTCACTGTCTGCTGTTGAAACCCTTTTGCATTTTTATTTTAGCAAAGCTGTTGGGCTGCCTTCCTGCGGGGCTTTGGGTGCCGAGGGAACTTGGGATAGAATCAGATTGAGGGTGTGTATCTGCTTTTCTCCCTTTACTCACTGACGGTGATTTCTCCCTTCACCACTTGGTGCCGTATGAAAGCCTCTGTGTTCGGGTAAGATCCAGTTATCACCCGGAAAGCCAACCACTGTGTCACTGCGGGCGCTGGCGCTGGCTCTGCACTTGAGAGTATGTCTGTCGTGCTCCGACTGACCACCAGAGAGCACCGTAGACCCCTCTATGGAGATGCTGGGTTCTTGCCCTCGGAGCCGCTCAAGTCCCCAAGAATGACACCGTAGGCCAGGTTAGGCGAGGATGGCCTTGATGAGGCCACACGGGGGTAAAAGCAGCCTGGTGGGGGCAAGAGGAGAAGCAGGGGCCTGGTCTGCTGCTGCTGCTGCTCAGCTTCCATGGAGTTCCCACTTCCTCCATGTCGTTTCCTTCAGGGCCCCTTGTGCCCACCTGCAGCAACTGAGGGTCGGAGCCCTTGCCTTTACCAGAGGGGGTGAGTGTCTCAAACGAAGACTGGATTTGGCAGAGAATGAGGTAGGCCCTGACCAAGAAAAGAGAATTTAAGATAGAAAGGTAATGGCTAAGGAGCCTGAGACTACCGTGCCCAGACGGCTGTGCTCAGCGGAATTCTGTTGGCTTTGGGTGTGTGGTTAGCGGGTCAAGTCTGCTCTTCTTTACCAGGCCATGGCCAATAATTAGTGTTTTTATTCTTTTAGTTCAGGTTCAGATTCCCTGGAGACATGGAGTGGGGTGGAGAAAAATCCTTTAGGAAATGAGGCATGGTTCAATGAAATCAGTGCATTAATAACCTGACTGGAGGCAGTCAATATCACGGCTCCCTTCTTAGTGATATTCAGACCCAAGGTCACAAAGAAAGAGCTGAGCCTGCTTTTCTATCATGGAGCATATTTTCAGTTTTAGTAATGAAAAAGAAATAGCATTCTACTGTTGTGCAAAGCTGGTAGGTCAGTATTTTTTAGGAGAATCCCAAACTCATTCAGAGATAATAAAATTTTCATCTGAGAAGACCATGATAGCTTAAGTCCTTTTTGGGATCAAAGGAAGTATAAATCAATAAATCTTTTTCTTAGTTTTTTCCCTTGGTATTTATTGTAAGATATATATCTGTATGGACAATTTTTTAAGGTTGAAAATTCATAATCTCACCACTCAGCATGGCTGCTAATATTTTGATGTGCTGGCTTCCAATTTTTGCATTCATGAAATTTTTTCTGTGAAATCAATTATTGTGCTGTGTATGGATTGTGAATCACACTTCTTTCACTCAATCACAGTCCTGTTATGTTCCCAGAAACCGCTCCTGAGGATGGCGTGCACCGACTGCAGAATATCCCATCAGGTCCATCTCCTCTGGCTGCCAGCTAATGGTCTGTGTTAGCGCTCTGATTGCTAGTGACCGGAACCCTCGTCAGAGTAGTGTAAGCAAAAAGAGGAGTTCCTTGATCTGAAAATACTCCTTTAGCACTGTCATCATCTCCTGGGTTCTCTTCCCACTGCGTTGGTCTTAACTGCAGCCAGTTTCATCTTAGGGCGCAGAGGGTACACATTCCCTGGCGAGAGAGCCATTCCCGACTAATGTCCGTGTCCAGGTGGGCTGACCTCACTGGCTGAGCTGGCCCCCATGTCCTTCTCTGCAGGTGGGTTCAGCTTGGCGCCAGTGGTCGGAACCACAGGGGCTGGGAGAATTTTGAAGCAGGGCTTCTGAAAGAGAAGGAGAAGTCAGGCTGACGAAAGGGTTTCTGGACAGACAAGAGCTAAGTGCCATTTTCACTTTCTCCAGTTTTGTACATGTGAGTGACTTCCAGTTCCTCCTTGCTGTAGGAGAAAGATCTTATGCATCAAGTATATTCCGCATCTCTGTTTGTCCTTAAGTGGCCGAGGCAGAAGCCCGAAGTGCTTCTTCCAGATTGCTCCTAAGAGTTTATGTCAGTGAGGCCTGCACGTGGCCTACCATAATGCATGCCCAGGGCACTGAATTTAACAGGTAAAAATAGAATTGTTTTATTTTAATTGACAGCTCTTAGGTGACTGGTAACATTGGACATTTAAAAACTCAAATGCTAGTTGCCTTTCTTTCCTTCGCTTCAAATATCAGTTGGCAACCAATAGGCCGAGTTTTCTCAAAAATAAAAGTTATGATCATCATAAGACATAATGTTACAAAATAAGTTCATACACAGTGTTTTTTCTCATCCTTGCAACAAGCCCAAGAGGTAGATGGGACACACATTATTGTCCTTTCAGGACGGGGAATCTTTCAGGGTTTCCCACTGTCACATTGTCAGGCCAGGTCCTTTAATCTAGCTCTAAGAATCCAGGGACCTCTCAGCTGCTGGCTCACAGGGGTCCTTTTGATGAAGTCTTAGAATGTAAGTGAGGTTTTGTGGGATGAGGTCTGGAGCCGACCACCAAGAAAGAATTCTTGAGGCATCTTTGGTGCAAAATGGTGGTTTATCAAAGCACGGGGACAGGACCTTGTGGGCAGGAAGAGCTGCTGCCCTGGGGCTGTGAGGGGTGGTCCATTATATGCTTGCAAGTTGGGAGGGGGTCAGGGATGGCGTAAGTCTCTAAGGAATTTTGGAAGCAAGGTTTCCAGGACCTTGAGGGGCTAGCTAATGTTGGGAAAAAGGTGATTCATTCTCAGTAATAAAACCTTTGTCACGAGACCCTTTAGATGTGTATCGGTGGGCCATATGTTTGGGAATGATTGTCCACACTATCTTGGAGGGTTTAGAGAAGTTTCCAAAGGAATTGTTAAAGGAGACTTACAGGATCCTGGTTGGGGGTAGGGGTCATCAGGCTAGGATTGCCCTTTGCCCTTAGCAAAGTGTTAAGGTAGAGGCAGTTGAGTCCCTAGAGGAATGTCACTCTGCCTGTGTCAAGGGCTTGTCAGTGGGTAAGGAAACTTAATAATTTTTCCTCTGCCTCTGTTTCCCACATCACTTTGAAGAAATGTCTTGCCACTTGTATTTAAAGTTGTGTGGTACAGGAATGGCACAGGTCAGGGGCACCTGGGTGGTACCGGTTAAGCGTCGGACTCTTGGTTTCAGCTCAGGCTGTGATCTCGGAGTCGTGGCGCTGACCCGTGTTGGGCACAGACAGTGCTTGAGACTCTTCTCCCTTTACCCCTCCCCCGTCCTGCATGCTCTTTCTGTCTCTCTCTCTCGAATAAATAAATAAATAAATCTCAAAGGAAAAAAAAGGAAAGAAAAGAAATGGCGAAGGTCACCGGTAAGCACAGTGTGGGTCTCACAGCTAGCAGCCTTACCTCTCCTGGGGCAGACAGTGTGGTGCACAGGAAGGCTTTGAACCCTGCAGCTGAAGGCCCGATTCCCACTCAAGCACTTAACCGAGTGGCCTGCGGTGAGTGCTCTGCTCAAGGTCCCTTTCGTAAGTCAGGGCGACACCTAGGCTTGGTGGTGACCCTTGGCATCAGTTCATCTCCGTCCTGGTGTGGGATAGCCTGAGGCCAGTGCATGGAGGATCTGGAGCCATTTTCTTGGTGATAACACCGCAAGAAGGTCACACCTGTTGTGTGTCAGTCATTGGTCTCCACTGTGCACTGGAGGAGACCCACCCTCACCCTGTGCTGGGTGTGTGCCATGTCTCCACCTGGGAGAGGGGGGAAGTTCTGGGGTCCTGTGGTGGAACCTAGTGAGAGATCAGGCCCAGCGGGTTTGGAGCCAGAAGAGCCCAGAGATCTCAGTTTGAC